ACTTTGCTTTATTGCAGCCCGGAGGACCGGGCTGCTCTATACATATAAGTTTAAGTGTTGGTATATGGGGATTGAGGTGGGAGAAGTTATTCAGAATTAAAGGTTTTCTAAACATTAAAAAGATTGTTAATCAGAATGTTCTTTCCCTTTATAAATTACGAGATACACAATATATTTACTTCCATAAAGTGAATCTGTAAAAATATATATGTTTTTCATATTTAATATATAAAGTTGCTTATCATTTACTATCGAAAAAACGACAGGTCTTTTTTTTTTTAAAACATCGAATTTTACTTATCGCATAAAAACGTAAAAACGTACTTTACACAGTTCGTGTTTTATAATCTTGAAGTGAAAGACATTTTTGAAAATAGGTGATGCATGTGTCTGGTTTCAAATTATATTTTATGCAGCCAACATTTACTTGAGGAATTGATAAAGTTTAAAAGGGTATCGTTTTTGTTCGATTTTCATCCGACTATAAGTTTTCAAAATAGTCTCTACTATCGTCTCCATCATTTAGACGCATGCCTTTTTTCACACATATCGAAGCGGTTTGATGATCAAGACTCATTTCCATTATTTCCCGGGCGACAATTGATGGTTACATCAATGTTTTCTTGTTATGTCTTTGTGAAAGGTGCTAAAACAACCTTCAATATGCGTTTTTATGCATTTGAAAAGCATAATAACACCTTCTTTTTTTGCACAAGATCGATTACTTCTAGTCTTTATCTTCATTATCCATAACTCTATTGACAACGATTCTGATTATTCTAGAACCTGTCACGTGTGATATTTCTGTGGTTCATACGACACCATTGTAAAGAGAATGTCCTCTTGTTATATATTAATATATGTTTCATTTTTTTTAAAGATTTTAAGATATATTTGGTAATATATTAATTTAAGGACCCTCTATACACTGATGAAAAATGTTTTTGGGACTTTGAGAAAATTATTTAGCATAAAGGAGGATATTTTGAAAATAACTAACTCATTTTTCAAAAAGGGAGCGTGCCTTTTTTATTCAGGAAAAATCTTCAAAGACAATGAAGTAATAGAAAAGAAAAATTGCCTTCACTTACTCAAATGGATAAAATACATGCAAATAAACTTTTCAAATACTCTATCTTGGTCTAATATAATGTTTAGAATACTTGGATTTATTTCAAATTATGTGATTTAGTTCAGATTACAATTTATTCTACTTGTATATCAAATGGTAGGTCAGTCTAATTACACAAAAGTACCCTGAAAATAGGGTGCAGTGTAGAGAGGGTCCTTAATTATATTTTGAAACTCTTACATACAAAAACAACACCATTTTCACAATTCAAGATAGGAGTAATGGTATTTAATGAAAATATTAATTAATGGCTTTATCTTTATTTTGTAGAGACATATATTGTTAAGGTATCTTGTTAAACAATAAAATGCTTTCTTTGGTTGTTAGTACGGGAATTAATGTCGCAGCTGTTGCAGAAAAAACACATAACCCGCGTAAGCGGGTTATGTGAATTTTTTCTGCAATAGCTGAGACGTTAATTCCCGTACTAACAACCAAAGAAAGACATTTTATTGTTTATATTTATATCTGTATAAATAATCATTAAAAGTAGGATTAAAAAGATTAATTATTGTATTATTGATATGTATGTCATAGTACGTTTCATTGATGGAACAGCCACTGATCAAGAAATCCGTACAGGTGATATGCCTAGTGTTGTTCATGAACTGATAAACGGCAATGGGTTTCGTTAGAAATTAAGGAGAAAATATTCAGTGGATGTAAATATTAACCAGTAAATGCCGTGTAGATCCTAACAACTACTTTTCAAAGCTAGAATATAAATTGAAAATACCTAATTGACTGAGAATTATGATAATTTTTAAAGAAGAATGTTGCTTTTGCCAGAATGAAAACATACACGCATAAAAGGACAAGTAACTTTTGTCCTAATTGGTGCAATTTTATCTGGAGAACGTTAATGAAATATTTTAAAAGGAAATGAAATCGTTATTGAGATTCAACAAACAAAATTCAAAAATACAAGCGTAGTAGAATAAACAATGATTTTGACATAGCTGATGTTAACAGGTAAATGAAATGATGGCAGATGTGGACAGCCTTTTCCTAGGTGGGTGGGCAACAAAGGAGAAACAAGTGTATGTAAGTTGTAACCCTCCATTGAATCGTGTAACACACAACATAACATGAAAACAAAAAAAAAATGTTTTCTAAGAACACTGATAAGTTTTTTTTTGTATTGTTTGACAAGAATGGTGACAACTTCACAATTTTGAAGGCTAAATTTGATTCAGGTATTTCAGAATGTATTCATCCTTAATATTTAAAAAAAAAAAAACAACAACAACATTTTTTAACTTAGTTTTTAATCTACATTTAATTTTACAAGATGCTTCATTCTTTATACATCGTTATATTATTACACTTTGGAAACTCCAGGCTCCAAGGCTTTTTTACTTCCCTAAAGGTGTTTTCATGCAGCAGTATAGTATGCCGTCTTAGTTACATTATCCAAGGGAGTTTTATCAACATTGAAGACAAGTGATTAAAGGCTAGGTTGATGTTTCTATGACATTAAATAATTAACACGCATAGGGGCTATGCCTAATATATAGAGAAGGTAATTTTTTTTTTTAAACCCATTAACACGAAAAGAAACCTCTTGCTGTGGCCTTCAATTCGTCATTTAGAAATATCATCAACGTTTTATCAATTCAGAATTTTCAGATTTATTAGAGGTAAGTTTATTCCACAGAAAAAAGTTTAAATTCATCTTCGCATACAAACTTGGTAAATAACAATACTTCGTAAAGAATAATGACGTAAAAAATTGACATCATAATGTGTCGTGGGGGTATTAATCTTCTTTTCATATAGGTGTTTTTGAATAAATTCTTTTTCTTTTTAATTCAAAAACAGGTCTTCTAATAACGGGCACAATAAAGACACATGGGAAATCCAATAGATTGTTGGTACATGTAGACTTGATCTAAAAGAAACTACAAAGATTTTATCAATGAGAATCTAAAGCATATTTTTGATATCAACCTTGACTTACTTGTGAGTAGAAACAGGTTTTTGTTTTTTGTTTTGTTTTGTTGTTTTGTTGTTGTTTTTTTTTTTTTTTTTTTTTTTTTTTTTTTTTTTTTTTTTTGGCAAATGAAGTTTATAAATGACCAATGAGGAGGTATGCAAATCTGCGAGTTTCATTTTTACTTAAGAAGCAGTTGTCTATGATGTCAAAAGTTTGGTCATAAATATATCGTGGGGAATGTTTGTATAAAGTGTTGAAAAGTCGTACGTCTTGATGTCATTGGTTTTAGTAAAGTTCAGGATTTCAAATTTTTTGAACGTTCTTTTTATTTTTTTTTATCCAAATATGATTAACACCACTTCTCTCATATGTTGTTCTACAGTACTCCTGAAGTTTCTCCCTCACTGATTATTATTATACAGTTAAAGTATATCATTGAGGGAGTTAGCAAGATTCCAGTTCCCTAAGGCCAGGACTATTTCCCGAGGCGAAGCCGAGGGAAATAGTCCTGGTCGAGGGGAACTGGAATCTTGCTAACTCCCGCAATGATATAGTTTTAACTGTTTTATTATACCGATACAAACATAAGATCTAGAGCATTCAGATAGCGTGATTTCAAAGCAGGAATTAGCTCACTGAACTAACACACGGGGATTAGTCCATTCACATATCATACCAATGTAAAAGTAAAATCTAGAGGATTACGGATAACTGGGAATTAGCTTTCGAAGCAAGGATTAGCTCACTTGACTAACGCAAGGGGATTAGTCAATTCATAACGATTTCTAGGGAATTAGTCACATCTAACGATCTTATGTTGTATAGGGAAAATATCAGTAGAGGTATAATAATATCATTTCACCCACGGATATATTATTTTTGTTTTTAAATCAACAGCTTATCTGTGATCATCTTATCTTAAGAGGTAATACTTAATTTTTTACTATCAAAATTTTTTAAGTACTAAAATATGTGCGTTGATAATTAAACCGATAAACCTATATAATAATATTAAACCAATTTTTTAATCATCTTTATCCTCGATTCTGGGTATGGGGTTCGTTTTAATATTTAGGGCACTATTTTTTTAAGTCTGAAGGAGAAATTATTGATCTCCCTTAAATTTAACTGAAAAGATCACAGTATGCAAATTTTATACCATACCAATTTTGATGTACCAGATGCGCATTTCGACAAATTATGTCTCTTTAGTGATACTCATGCCGAATGTTTGAAATCCGAAATATTTAAATAAAAAAATCCTGAAAGAGCTGAAAAAGGGGCGCCAAAGACTGAACCCAAATACGTCGAAGGATCAGAGATATGCATGAGGGAGATAATCCTTAATTTTTAAATATCGACTGATGGTATGGATGGTGCTGGCATAATGAAAGCGTGTGTTTTCTCAGCATAAAGCGTATGTATTTAGCTGCTCAATTGTGTTACCATATCTTATACCATGTATTTTGTTACCTACATTTCCCTAAGCCCTGTGAAAATAATCTTTCAGATTACTGTTCATGACCGAAAGGACATCAATTTATGATTAAATAATTCTTCCGAATTCTCTAGTTTTCAGTTTATTTATGTTGTGATAATATGTAATGCCTCAAGTTTTTCCAAATGATTCTGAGTGAGTTGAGGAAGATACCCCTAAAATGTAGACTTTAATTTGTTCAATTAATTTCTTGAACATATTTTATCATATGATCTAAAAATTCATCAATAAGAATGAAGTTTCTCTTAAAAGTACTTTTATGCCAATACACTCTAGATCTGCAGTTATTTTTACTTCATAGCAATAATTCTGATTTGGTCACATCATAACGTCAAGTATACAAGACCTTCATGCTAAAACAACGATGTTGTCTATTTATTCTAATTTTAGATTTGTATTATACAGTCAGGATAAAAAAGCAAAAAAGTCAGCAATATAAGAAATATTTTAATCCAAGAACACATTCTGAGTCTTATTTTTAATCTGAAATCAAAAAATAAAACCATATTATTAATAAATCATTAGTATGTAATTAATTTTCAGCAAGAAAACAGTAACTTAATTACAGTCCTTATGTACTCACTTGTATATGATTGCATCTTAAGAATTCTCGTCTATTTAGCCATATGTTTGTCGTCCTTGTCCACTTTCAATGCCTCCCGCTGCCCCATTGTTGTTCTCACCAGTGTTAGTGAGTGCATTGTTTGTAAGACCATTGTTACTTAAACCATTGTTGTTAAGTCCATTACTGTTGAGTCCACTAAAAGCATTGTTATTGTTAAATCCATTGAAACCATTGTTGTTGAACCCATTGAAACCATTGTTGTTGAACCCATTGAAACCATTGTTGTTGAACCCATTGAAACCATTGTTGTTCAGCCCATCAAAGCCATTGTTTAACCCATTGAAGCCATTGTTGTTGAACCCATTGTTATTGAAGCCATTGAAACCATTATTGTCAAAACCATTGTTGTTAAAGCCATTGAAACCATTGTTGCCAAAACCATTATTGTTGAAACCATCATTAAAAAAATTGTTGAAACCATTATTGAAGCCATTGAAACCATTGTTGCCAAAACCATTGTTGTTGAAACCATCATTAAAAAAGTCATTGTTGAAACCATTATTGAAACCATTATTAAAACCATTGTTGTTGAAACCATTATTGAAACCATTATTAAAACCATTGTTGCTGAAACCATTATTAAAAGCATTATTGAAACCATTGTTGTTGAAACCATTATTGAAACCATTGTTGTTGAATCCATTATTGAAACCATTGTTGTTGAAACCATTGTTGTTAAAACCATTATTGAAACCATTGTTGTTGAAACCATTAAAACCATTATTAAAACCGTTATTGTTGAACCCATTGAAACCATTATTGTTGAATCCACTAAACCTGTTGTTGCTTAATCCACTCAAACCAATGGTGTTGAATCTGTTAAAACCATTGCTGTTCAAACGGTTGTTGCTGGCACCATTGCTGTTGCCATTTAGTCCATTACTGTTGAGACCATTTAGTCTACGACCAATCATTCTGCCATTTCTATTACTTCCTATAATTAAAATCAATTTAAAAATACAAATCTTACTTAAAGATACTATATATAATATAATTTGAATAAAAGGATTGCCATAAAAATCTTTTACACAAATATATTTTTTTAATATTCCCCAAAGAGATAAAGAATACCAAAATTCCATATGACAATGTGATCTGCAGGATGAAAATACTTCCATAGCCTTTCGGTCCAGAACAACTTACCATTGTAGGCAATCGATACTCCAAACAAGAGAACTAATACCAGGAAAGATTTAGACATTGTGCAAGAATGAGCGGCAAAAACCGGAACGGTATGGCAGGTTTCCTCTGGCTGTCGGGGATGAATTTGATGGCAAGCTGGGTACGTTTATATAGGTTTTAGTTTTCACTCAGGTTGTGTAAAACACACCGTAAGATTAAAGCAAAACAAATGTTTGTCTAATTACATTGATTAGTAAGACTTTCAGAATATTCATTTAACAAGACAACATATACTGCTACAGTTAACAAACACACCAGTTGTTGTAAAATTCAGCGCTTACAATCTGCAAAACCATCGTCTAGATACGTATTCCGTGTCTGATTAGACACGTAAACCCTGTTTTATACTTTGAGATACAAGAAAAGTTTGACTTTTAAAATCTATTATTGATTTTTAAAAATATACATTTAACGTATTAGAATTTTTTTTTATTTTTTTCTTGAATTATTATTTGCTTGTTTATTTATCTATTCATTTTATTTAATGCAAGTAAAGCAAAGTGGATATCATATAAATTCTTCTAGCACATATGTCTGAAATAATATCTAGTCGTTTTATGTTTTCGAATTGCATATAGAATATCACCCTTCAGCTGTCATATTACATTTATTTTACTTAATGGTTATTTCAAGTAATTCTAGATTATTTTAACAAAATTCAATATTGTTCATGATATGTTTTAATTTGTCGGAATTTTAAAGAGATTTCACTTTGCTCTTGTATGAATAATAAGCATTTAGTGTCCAAATATGAATTAAGGACGATTTCTTGTCAGGTTAGTCGAAGCGAATTTACATTAAATCCTGTAATTCTGAGATGTTAGGAATTAATCTAATACTGTGTAACAGTAATGTTTTCACTACGTTCATCATGGATATTTTACTGTTCTTCGGAGTGTTCGAAGAAAAGTTTATCACCTAGGTGGAAAAATGACAAAACATCACGAAAATAAGGGTATTCTTTGTACCTTGGATTTTCTGACTTCGGACTATAACTTCATTTAATTTTATGAACTTTGTGAAATCATCCTAATTTATGTATAAAGCTAACAAAATAAAACATTACCAGTTGATTTGGTTAGTTTTTTTTATTGCTTATCTTATGGGGTACATATCAATTACTGAGTTCGTAGAATAAATCTAAACATTTGAATCGCCGTTATATTTGCACTTGATGGTAAATATTATTTAGAATATTTTCTTTGATGAATAATTTTATTACATCTATCAGTCAGGAATTAATTCTATAGCCTTTTTAGCTAAGAAGCTAAGAAAATTTGAAATATATCACTACTGAAATTGTCACATTTTTAGCCTCAGAAATTCTTCAAATTCTCCTAATTTTGACACTTGGTAATTGAAGTGTGTTTAATTCATATAGACCGATGACTACCGTTTTACATTAAATAGAACATTTCTTTTCTACTTCCTGAGGTTAGTGAAGGCGTTTTAAAGAGTTGCCAAGGCAATAAAGTAACAACTTCAGAACAAATGTCATATCATAAGACTTTTTAAACATCAATTAGCTTATGGCAGGTTTGTCTCCTCTGATATTGACTTTTCGAAATAAAGTTGAATCAACGTAAGTCAGATTTTACCATATCTTCTATTTCCTTCATATAGTAATATAATTTTGAAATGCCTATTTCAATATCATGACAGCATTGAACCATTAAGGACAGACGATACCTTCCTCAATAATATATATTTTTTTCTAAGATTTTGTCACTGAAGTGTTGCTACTTTAACGTGTTTACTCGCAAAAAATCAAGGTACCTTACCAGGCATTTGTGCAAGATACCAGAGGATGTTGTTTCCTATAAAATCCTTTAGGAAAAAACTTAATTAGCCAATAACACATTTGTTAGTGTTTCATTATTTAAAAGACAATTTAAAACCAGTTTAGAACTCAGAAGATAATTAAAATTTGGAATGTTTTCCACACAATACGAAGATATACAAAACAGATATTTGAGGAACGTATCGTCTGACCTTAAATTTGCATACATGTAACCTAATTTTTGGAAATTTAGGGGGAAGGATACCACCCAACCCCTTCCCCCCTCCTCGATGCCCCATCACAATCACCCAGTGGATCTGCAACCATTTAAATCAGAATAGAAAGTACTTTTTTTTTAAATCACTGTAATAAAAATTAAATGATTAAAAAATAAATTTTAGAAAATTGTGAATTGAAGTTTTAAATTATATTTTAATATCACAGATTTAATTTGTTTACAAAACGACTCGCTTTTTTTTTTGTAATTTACATAAAATCGTGAGGTGAATACAATTATGAAATCTAAGTTATAAGGAATAAAAACCACGAGAAAGTGTTCAAGTAACACAGATCTTATTTTCAGTGCCTTGATATTTGTGAAGGAGGGTTTAAATATATGTTCTCACTGCAGATTCAGTCAGTGTTTGTCTCTTTGATGTACCTTACAAGGATAATTTGTTTAAACCATGAAACCATTTTCTTTGAAAGTTCCAATCGGATAATAACAGCATGTTTCCTTCATGCCTATAAAAGATATATAGGAATCACTATGCGTGAAATGCTACCACCTAGTTAACAGAGATTCAAATAATTTCGGCTTAGATTTAGCTTTGCTGAATATTTGAACTTATACCTTTACCGGACAGTCTTTCATAATTCATGTCTTGAAATTCAAACTTAGCTTCGACCGGTTTTAGGTATTATTTTGCACCTAGATGACACTGCCGTTTGCTGCAAGGCAGTAAAAAAGATTAAGAGACTTACTTGGAGCAAAGGCCAATGTCACCTAGGTGAAAAATAATACCGAAGTTGAGTTTGAATTTCCAAACATGAATTATGAAGAAATCTTCCAAAATTCGATGAATTCGTCCGTCTAATATATCAACCATTCCAAATTACAGCCGAGATTAAGGTTAAGATTATATTAAGATTAAGGTCCCGCATGACATTCATGGAAGTCAAATATATGTAGTGATCGTAGTCCAACGGAAGCAACAGGTCCATGTTAGAAGTCATATATAATTTTCGTCAACTCCTGAAAAGCTTTGAAAGAAAACAAAAAAAAAAATTCGAACAACATAAGTCAATGTGTAAAGTAAGCGTAAGAAAATTAACTCCTGTAAATGTTTCATTATCATTAAAAACTCGAAAAACTGTTTAGTGTACTGGACTGGGATGCTTTTGATTTTGTCAAAAAATGTGAACCAGTTATTAATTGCTCAAGATATTTAGAAAAATAACAGTATACTTTAGAAAGTTTATCTGTTATACATGCAGAAAAGTGTGGATACATGAATATTGTGTCATATAATATCCCGTTGAACTCAAAATAAAATACACCACAACCTGGCATATCTGTTTAATATACAGCTGTTTTACTGACTATAGACATTCATGACCAACTAAAATTTCAACTATATGACAAACGTGATGACTTCAGCTTTTCCATCATAAACTTCCATTGGTTTTGTAGTGATATTCCAATATCAATTGAATATATGGTATTTATGCCTCCCAGCTGATTCGGTACACAAGAGAATGTTCCGAGTACAATCAATTTTTAGACCGATAGAAGCTTCTGACAAATAAGTTAAAGTAACTGAACTTCTTACAATCTCACCAAAGTCATCATTTTGCAAATTCTGTGGTCGATATAAAGACCCTGTTTTCAACCTATCACTAGGCTGTATTTTGATTGACATGTTTCATACTACAATCCGTTTACTTCATCAATACAGAGGGTTCACGGCGGTTTTGGCCTATCGACAGGGGATACTTATTTCACCTACGCACCTGATCCCACCTCTGTTCTTGCCCTGTTTACGGTGGAAATGGAATCTATCTTACTAGAGTGAAATATATGGGGATAACGAACAGTATTCGAGACAAAAGTTCATTAAACAATACAAAATAGGAGCAGAGCAAACACGGACCTCCAAAACATCAGAGGTGGGATCAGGTGTGTAAATAATGGCCTAACAATTAGTATGAAAAACGACAGTCAGCATTTGACTCAATGATAAATTGAATTTGCTGACAAGGTCATTGTATCAAGCATAGAACTTACGAAATGATGACTTTAAACGAGACTGCTGATATTCTTGTTTCATCAACTTCTTTGTCAATAATTTACCTCGTTTTAGAAATTGTACAGACGTAGAACATGCTCTTGCGTATCGAATCAACTGAGAGATATAAACCTTGTATGCAGGTAATGAAGGTATATTGCTGCATAAGTAAGGGAAGTTGACGATTGAAAAGTAAAAGTCATCACGTTTATCATAAAGCTTGGTTGTTAGATTACCATTAACGTCTTTTTCAAGTAAAATATCTAAATATGAAACAGATGTGTCAGACTCTGTGGTATCTTTTATCTCAAGCTCAACGGGATATATCGTGTCGACATAAGAATGGAAATAACCATTGTTAATTGAAATACGTCGTCAATATATCTAAAGAGGTCAAAAAATGTGAATTTCTAAAATTCAATATCAATGTCAATTTCACCGTACAGGTTCCGATAAAACACCCAAAGAAAGATAAAGACGAAATTATTTAAGCAGTATATTTATAATATTTTCTTACATTATAGTACGTATTTGATTATTTAGTTTATAATGAACAGAACTTCACTAAATTGTGAAGAAAGAAAAGCAACTCATCAAGGAACAAAATGATCTTGAGACTGACAATGGTTTATCTTATCTTGTTTCAAATTTATATTGTGTTCGTAGATCTCTGAATTTTCTTCACGCTCCGTGCATCAAATGTATATACTTTGAAAAAAAAACATGTTGCTACAATATTTAGTTATTGGATTTTGGAAAAGAAATTTCTTTTTATTGTTACTCATTATATCTTACTCTGGCTGAAGATCAAAACCTACCGGTATATAAAACTAAACTTTTTAAATCGTTTTCTACAATATTTTAATCGACCATGTCATCGTTTCGAAACATTCTGTTTATTGCAATCAAATTTCATGAGTATGAAAGTAAGAATATATCTTTATTTATTTATTTATTTATTTTTATTTT